CACTCAGAGAGTTATGAGGCTTTGAAGATGTAAGGTCTTTATCATAGGCAATGGGTAATGGGACATTTTTGTACAATGAGATAGTATTAAATGGTAAAGAATCTCAACAAGAGACAATACATTCAAATCCACCTTACAATAACCAGAAGAGTCTAGAACTCTGAGGGATACTACCATTGAAGCCAATGGATTTCACAAAGTGTTACAAGTAGGTTTCAGAATACGTTGTAGCTGCAAGGATAACTTCCAATACTACAATAGCGATTGAATCCCTGTTACCCAGAGCAAATAAGAGTTGCAGACAGAGGTAATATTTGTCAGTCCAGTGGATTAGCTTTCTGTGAATTAGTAGGAAGCACTCCAGAAGATATCTAATTGTCGAGTAAGGAGTTATGAAAGTTTAAAGTCAGGCAACCAATATAGAACGTTATGATTATGACTATCTTTGCAAATGCAACCAGCAGATTAAACTGATTATTTCATCAATGATGGAGACAATTGAGGTCAACTAAGTTCGACTTGAGAACTAGGCTATAAGTTTAAAGACTCTAATGATCAGAGAATTACTATTGTGAACAGTATTGTTTCTAGTTAGTTATATCATAATTGCTGAAGATGGTGTGGTAATTTTCAGGATCTCCAGATGTTTATATCTTTTAAGAATATCTGACATTGCGAGTTATAATCACAGAGCTACACAGTTGTATAATAAATAGATGTAGTCCACGAACACTCAGACACGGAATATAAACATCGAAGTACTTCCCACACTTTAGACATCATCAAGCAATAGAGATGAGACCTTAACTATATAATATTATTTCTATGACTCTATCTTACTTTACCAAATTTACTTCACTGTTAGTAGTCATAAATAAAACAACTGAATTCAAGCCTTGCTAGACAATCTCTGTCTACAAAAACGAATCTTTATTGGCTCAGACAATTCTGAAGTCTATCAGATTATCTCCCCTTAATAATAAGTAATTGGAAAGGTTTTCAACCCAATACTATAATGACTCGATAGCGATACAGGTGCATTGTATCTTTACTAATTCCTAAATGTGTGGTACCTCAAATGACTTATGCACCTGCTGAATCAAGAAAGTAGAGTGCCACAGCTTATTTGATCTCAATTGGTGCTTGCCAATTTTATGAATTATTGTTTATAATTATTGAGTTGTCGTGGACAAGTAATGTAATGGGGATGGCAGGGACAAGGAGTAGCTAAAGGGTATCCATATGACAGGGTAAGAGCTGGAGAGGGAGGTGAGGGTTGAGGTAGAAGTAGAGGTAGGGGCAGAGATGAGAGTAGAGGAAGGGGCAGAGACAGGATCAGAGGTAGGAGCAGAGACAGGAGTAGAGGCAGGGGTAGAGACAAGAGCAGAGGCAGGGGCAGAGGAGGAGTAGAGGCAGGAGACAGGAGCAAGACTGGAGAGGAGATATCTTTGTGTTGCTAGAATACAAAAGATACAGACTAAGGAGAGAAAAGGGAAAATACAAGGAGAGGTTCCTCAGCACCCTTTTAAGCAAAAACCGAACTTCCCAAAAGCACAAATGTGTTGACAAAGAAAAACATGTCACGACTTCTCAAACCCTATTTTTTTAGCTCATCACTATTTTGCCCTAACCTAATCCCAACATTTTTCAACCTACTAAGAACACCACAAAACCTAAGACCTCTCTATTTACCTCAGACTATATAGATGCTACACCGTAACAAGTAATCTGAGAGCGGTAAATGATTCTCAATCCATGGGGAAAAAATACAAAATCCATCTTTAGACATTACATGTATCAAACTATTATTAGTTTACTTTTCTATTTATTTTTTATTTCTGATTTTCTTTCTTTTAACTCTTCTCATTTACTATTGTCTTCTAATAAATTAAATATGAATCATAGTTTACTTAAATAATGTGAAAATAGGTACTCAGTACTAGGAATTGGATTCCTGATTACTAAATATCAGATTTCCAATATGATTATACCCAAAAGCCTATTGTTTCTCCCATCTCTCAGTCCTCCTCTACTACTCTTTACTTAATAGAATTTATTGACCCAGCAATTGACATTCCTAATAGTGGGAAGAGTTGTGAGTTGTCAACTGTTTGAATGCAATTTGTTCTAGTATCGTACTGTACTCTGCTTGGTAATAGAACTTGACAAAATCCTGGAAATTCAACAGAATATCAATCATAGTTTGAGAAAACCAAGTATCTTGAAGAAATTGAAGAAAACATACTTTTTGTTAAAGGCGAGACATCTTGGTTTGTTGATGTTTGAATTTGGTCAACCTTTTATATAGATAGTGTTATTTTACATCAAGGAAAGTTTTACATGTTGCTATTTATTGACCTCTAGACTTTAGTATCGATACAGAGGAATAACATACCCCACAGTGAGTCAAAATACACGGTAACACGAAACAACTAGTGCTCAATCAGCACCAATAAACCTGATTTCCTGTTAACTTGACTAGTGTAATACTAGTACAATGACTCAAACAGGATATCTGTCATCATATAGAAATCAGCTCAAGTAGAGTGTAGCAATGAAAAGACAACTGAAGTCAGTTGAAACTCTCTACCTTCGATAAAGCTGGCTATAATGTCATTCAACAAGAAGAATTTCACAAGCGAACAACGTATTGAACTTACACTTATCCATTTGAATCATTCTCAGAACGAAGGCACCAACTACATTCCCACTTTCGATTGATTAGTCTGTGATTACGAAGTTCTAAAGTCAAGTCTTTGGCATCGTGATCATGGCCAAACCCCAATGAGTGAATATAGCGAATGGAAACAATACCTGTTTCAGGAGAAGAGCAAGCTCTACTTAATTGGTATAATCTTAATAGACTTAATTGATATGAAGATAAAGTTAGCTAATTAACTGACAGGTGTTTGGAAATGCAAGACTACTGCTTTCCACCACAGATAGCATTGGTCAAAGAAATGGCAATGTATCTATGCAGTAAACAGAATTCTAAAAAGGCTCAGTCTATTGGCTATAACTGGCACCTTTTATTCCTAGCTCGCCATCCAGAACTGGGTATTAAGTACAGTTGACAAATCAAGCATGTCCAAGTTGAGGCACAACAAGACTATTATACATTTGTAAAGTTCTTTGAATGATTATGTACTATATTCTATAGCAAATATTGTACATAGCTAATTTAAAAGGCTTGAAACAGCCATTTCAAAGTTCAACATTAGGCCTGAAAATCTTTACCCTCCAGATGAAATAAGCTATCTTATAGGTTTTACACAATGCTGTCAAGTCATTTATGGTAAAGATTTATGAAATAATAGTGGTGGACTACTGGCAATTGATGGTTGAAGGGAAATGATAACTGTGATAGAGACTATTTGTGCAAATGGCTCTGAACTATTACCTATGATTATTTTTAAAGGAGATGGTATACAAGAAGATTGGGTTGAAAGCAGGCATAGTTATCTTTCAATGCCAGATGAGGTTCTTGTTAGTTCTTCTGAGAATGGCTAGACAGAGAGTAAAAAAAGCCCCCGAGATCTTGAGCACTTCTTTGGACCAAGCACAAGGACTGCGATTTAAGCTAACTATGGGTCTCAATTCCCCATGCTTTTGTTCGATGGGTATTCCTCTCATGTCATATGGGAGTTTCTTCTCTACTATCTGTAAAATCGCATCATTCACTTCTGTTTGCCAGCACTTACGACACATAGATTACAGCCTTTAGATGTTGCTGTATTTAGCCCACTAAAGCAGAAGTGGACAGATATAGTATGGGAGAGATTTCAATGGGAGAACCATACAGTGAAAAAGGAAAGTTTTTTGGGAGATTTTGGAGAAGGCTTGGGCAGAAGGGTAGATGAAAAGAAATATTCTTAGTGGCTTCAAGGTTACTGGGATTTATCCATTGAATAGTTAAAAGATACTTCAAACTCTTCCAGGATATGATTCTTACCAGCCAATGGATACTGTATCGCAAGGTTTATGTTCAACTCCAACTTATGAGCCTAAAACTCCTAAAACTGAGCCTGAGATTATAGAGGCAGCTGCCTTTGCTGAGAAGAGTATCTACCGAAATACTCCACAATCCTGAAAGGCTCGTACTGCCATCTGCTCTCTCGCTCACTCTACATCACTTCACTGCTCTACTCTAAATCTACATCACGTGACTGAACGCAAGAAACATTAATACCTTATAGAAGAAGGTATTAATTCTGACAATAAAGGGAAGAGAAGGATTAAGGTTGATAACTCAGCTATCTCAACCGGTGACGTGAAAAAGATAATTCAAACTAACTATGGTGGTAAGATAAAAGCAGCAAAAAGTAGTTTTGAATATTATACGCGATTGTATAATAGTAAACAGACTAAGCTTACAGAAATAGGAAACAAGAAAAAGCAGCAGCAAGAGAGAGAAAATAAGGTAGAAGGGGGTAGGAGTAAAAGATATAAATCTGCAGTTCAGTTAGCAGGCGAGCAGAAGGAATTAGAGGAAAAAATGGAAAGATACAGAAAATTAGTAAAAGAGAAGGACAATGTGTATGAAAAATTAAAGGCAGAAGAGAAAAGTGCTTTGGAAGGATTGAATGGTTTGGATATTGAATATGAGGAAGAGGAAGATGGAAGTGAAAAGAATGAGGTGCATGGGTTGGATATTGGTGTTGAGGTTGAAGACAGACTCGGAGATGATTCATGTTAATTGTGGATTTTCATTGGAGGTGGTTGCCGCATAACTTGTATTAAGCTACACTTTGTTTGGCTGTTTCGGGTCGCCGTGTGTTTCGACTCGCCGTGGGGTACGTTAGTATCTTGCTGGTATGGTAACTCCAACCTTACATGCTCAAGTACGCTAGGAAACTTACACTTCTTTAACTTTGAAAACCCCTAGTGCCGGCACTCCTGCCACTGAGTACGAGTACAGTACCGGCATAGTACCTCCATTCCTGGACCACAACTACCCATCCATCGCACCATCCCCTCTCTACCCCCCACAGCACTGTGGAGAAAACTGTACCGTAACCTGGTCAGGTATTATACGAGCGCTCATTCATGCTCCAAAAACTAGCCTCCTACAGTATCACACCACCACCACCTCCCGTCTCCAATAAACAACCCATCCCATTAGCCCCAACAGTCCCCGTCGAAATGTCCGTATCCGCCCCTCTAACCCTGCAAAAACAAAAACACTTGAAATACTGGCTCCGCTGTTTGAGAACCTGTCTACCAACCGACTACACCACCACAGACTTGAACCGACTAACGCTTGGCTTCTTCTGCATCGCGGCCCTCGACCTCCTCGGCTGTCTGCAAACTGAGACGACGGAAGGAGACCGCGCAGGGTGGATCAACTGGATCTACAAGAACCAGTTACCCACCGGAGGATTCCGCGGCAGTCCCGCTACGGAACTGGGCGGAGGGGAGGGTGGCAGCGAGTGGGATCCACCGATTGTTCCTGCGAGCTTCTTTGCCCTGGTGGCCTTGGTGAGCCTAGGCGATGACCTGGAACGTGTGAGGAAGAGGGGGTTGTTGGAACTCCTACCGAAAGTCCAGAGGGAAGATGGCAGCTTTGGAGAGTGGCTAGGTGGCGATGGGCAGATTATTGGGGGGAGCGATATGCGCTTTGTGTATTGTGCTGTCGCCATACGTTGGATTCTGCGAGGGAGGGAAGGGGAGGGTATGCTTGAGGGGATCGAGGACATTGATGTAGAGGGAGTCGTAAGGTTCATAAAATCCGCCGAGAGTTACGAACATGGGATATCGGATAAGGCGTTTGGGGAGGCTCATGGTTTCTTCCCTCTTTCTTTCTTTCTTTCTTTCTTTCTTTGTGCTGGAGGTTGGGATTGGGACTGATGAACGCATACAGCGGGATTGACTTACTGTGCCATCGGAGCTCTGGCCCTGCTGGGTCGACTACATCCCACCTCCGACGGACTATCTACGCATGCGAACATTCTCAGATGGCTTACCTCACGCCAAGTACCTTCCCAAGCGCATGACGAATTAAAGGACGAGGAATACGAGAGTCGCGTAGCCAATGGCACGGAACAAGAGATCACAGCTGGGGCTACAATCACCTGCGGGGTGGATGGAAAGCCGCTATGGGCTGGCTTCAACGGGAGGTGCAATAAGAAAACAGATACGTGTTATTCATTCTGGGTTTGCGGGAGCTTAGATGTAAGCCTCCTCGTCTCTTCCAGCAGGCCGCTCAAGCTAACCAGCCACCAGATGATGAAAAAACTCCATCTGATTGACTTCAATAGCAATCGGCGGTTTCTACTAGAAAAGACGCAACATTTCATCGGGGGCTTTGCAAAGTTACCCGTTCCCGGAACGCCGCCGGATATCCTACATAGCTTTATGGGGCTGGCCAGCCTTGCGCTGATGAGGGAGGAAGGGCTTAACAGGTTGGATCCTACACTCTGTATAAGCATGCAGGCGAAAGAACGATTAGTGAACATGGGCTGGTGGAGGGACGCGACAGTCTGATTAACTGATTGCCGCCTCCTTGAGTGTAGTTTAGACATCCTGCCAATTGTGATGATCTTTGTGTAGCGTCCATGATACTATGATATTCCACCATTCCACCCTCTTTACCACGATAAATTCCAATATGAAATGATATACGAGTGACAATGCATGAACCATGTTCGAACCGTTTGAACGTAAAACAAACTCAGTTAAAAACATGAAGCCTGAAGAAACCCCACAAAAAGTGCCACGGACTGTCAGCCTATTCCCTAGACTTTACCAACCTCCCGCAAATATGGGGCATAATCACCCAGTGCTCCTCCTCTTTCAAATCCACCAAATCATTAACGTCCCACCGCCCAGCCCTGAGGAGGATCTCACTCGTCCTCCTATTGATATTGCACCCAGCTAACATTCTCGGCCAGAGGATCTGGTAAAACCCTACCAAAGCTCGCCCAATTAGCTTTTCTCGCCTTCCACCCGCCCAGCGAAGCTCGTCAGACATACCTTGCAACAATCCGGAAACAGAACACTTCCCATTCCTGACATGCTCAAAAACCAACCACTGGCCGCCCGGCTTCAAGCACTCGAATAGACCACCCACAGCCCTATCCAGGAGCCTTTTATCCAAGGAGCAAAGTGCTCGGATTGTGAGCACAGTATCCACACTCCCCGCCTCAACCCCGGCCCCCCGCAGACCATCCAGATCTTCGGCGCCGAACGGCAGAATGGTGTACACCTCTGTCAGCCCCTCGGCGTCGACTGCCTTCTGTAATTGCGCGTGCATGTGGATGTTGGGTTCCAGACCGTAGATGTGTGTTATTAGTGGTGGGTGTGGGAGGAACCTAATTGCATCGCCTGTGCCCGGCCCAATGTCGAGGACTTTACCGCGGCATTGGGAGGCGATGCGGCTTATGGTGGGATCGTTGGCAAAGAACCGGGGGCCAGAATAGTGCCAGAAGAGGGTGAACCAGACATCGCGGAAGGTGGCGGTGGTGGAGGAGAGGCGGAGGTGAAGGAGGAGGGCTTTGACGCCGAAGAAGGCGGAGAGGAGGATGAGGTAGGCTGGTGTGAGATAGTTTATTGTTCGGGCGAGCATGGCTGTTACTGGACTGGGTCGTGGTAGTGGTGATGGTTAGAATGGATGAGATGGGGTGTTGGAGGGGTTCCGCCAGGTTTTGTGGTGGGGGATTGCCCCAAAGTCGGGTGCGGGCTGGACAGTCTGTTCCGAGGCTGCGAGAACTGGCAAGATATTGCAACCCGATTTACCGAGTTTTGTTTGTGGTGCCCACCGGGGTTTTCTGTGAAGATAGTCGCAGTAACAGAATCTCACGACATCGGAACAGACTATATGTAACCTAAATTATCCCATGGCGATTGACTAATTCCTACCTGCTACTCGATTTGTCAGTTGGTCGATTGCGGTTCCTCCGAGACCTCGGCCGCTGTCCAAAAGAGAGAGGGAGACGAGGCGAAAGCGGAGCCGAAATCAAGAGATGTAGAAGTCCTGGAGTTTATCAGTCCATATACAGACAATCTCCAGCGGTCCCGTTGCCTAGCCATAGTTACCATACCACGTGAGAATCCGTGAAGAGACGTAGAGTCCCATGGAGCCTGTGCTGTGGGGAATCTCCGCCGTTGGAGACTCGGACCTGGTGGTTAAGGTGGGAATATACCGGCGTGAGATGTAATTTCAAATAATTTATGAACTGCTGGTGATACGGTGTATGTTCTGCCCCTGAGGGGAGGAGGAGGGAGAGGGTGTGTGCGTGTGGCGTAGTACACGGACCAGCACAGCACGCAGCAAATGCGATAACCTCGGTACAATACAGGTCTCTCCCGAATTACGAGATTCCGACACCGTGGGTACTGTGCACAGTACAGTACCCGCACAGAAGCTACCAGTAAGCCCCACAAACAAATTTCGACTAATCAGACTACGGAGACTTTCCAGTTCTCGCAGCGTCGGAACAGACCATGACACTATAGGGGACATATTCTCGTAAGGTGGTGAGCCGGGCATTCCTCCAGCACCAGTACCGTAGTCTACTGATGTGCTTGGCTACTGTACGAGTACAGTACTCGCGATCAGTGCTTGGATCCGATAGCATTGCAAAAGGGGGTTGCAAATCCCCCCCAAAATATTACTCTGATATATATGAGTAGTCGGTCTGCTCGGAGCTTTTGCGAACAGCATCATGCCATAGTGAAAAGATATCGTCCTGCACGAAAGCTATGTCATTTTACTAATTCTAACAAGTACTTTACTTTTTTGCCTAACAGGGAACCTGGTCGCGCAAAAACTTACGATATCATACATTACCGGCGTTACTATGAAACCCTACTGTACCGGTAGGTGATGTTGGTAGGGAAGAGGGAAAGTTGACCTCTAATCATGAAATCGGACTCGGAATTAGGGCCACTAAAATGCTCACCTCCACCATATTCATAATTATTATATGGTGGGGGTTGTCTATAACGTGGACCATGGAGTATGGCAAAATGTATGATAATACATTATCCATACATGAGCACAATTGGGTTTAAATCATCTCAAGCCACAGTTCCACTAGTATATATATATTTATATCATGTATTCATTGTTAAGGTACAAGAACTTGCATGTAGTGTGAGTTATGGTGTAAAAAAACCTCAAGCTCAAACAAACAAACAAATAAAACCACTTGCTCCTATCTCCCAACTGACAACTGTTATTGCACCTCAAACAGTAAATACTCAAACTAGTAAACAAAGAACAACAAACTCACCTAGCTAAGGAAAATCATCAAGGTGAATCATAAGTAAGGAAAGATACAAGGCAGTCAAGGCATTCTAGAATAGTGAAGCAGATGCCGTAAGGACAAGCATGACAGATCGATACAAAGTTCCAGTGAGTGAGATGTAGGTAGCAAGCACCTTTATAAGCTTGACTGAGGACCAGACAGGTAAGTCTGGGCCAAAATCCATCACAGCAGGTAGATGGAGTACTGTTAGGCCAGCTTTGATTAGACAGGAAAAGATTGTATGGTAGAGGTTCTCATCCTCCTCCTCTCAGGGTGAACACAGGGTTAGTAGTCCATCCATGTCCCAAAAAGTATGGCTAGCAAAGTATCTCTTGCCTGACCTGATCTGATATATACCCCTCACTGTAAACCTGTCTAGGTCTATGAAGGTATGAGCCTTGATCAACATGGGATACCAGTAATAGTGAAGAAGATAGACCTAGAGTGCATAGTTTTTAAAGAGTAAGTTTCCAACCTAGTGTTAATTATGGTATAGGCGAGATGAGAAAGGTCGGGGCCTGGAAGCAGATCAGGTAGAAGATTGAAGTGATTGGGTAGGAAGACAGTGGTAGTCCCTATGAGAGAGAAAAAGGGCATTTTTTTAGAGATTAAGCCATATAAGTTAGGAGAAGTAGTACCTATCTCAAGTAAGGAGATTATAGTTCCAGCATTTCAAGGGAAAGTATACTCCTTATGCTCAACCTTAAATCTGCCCCTTGTGGGAAGCAAAATTTGGGAAAAAAATAAGCTGCAATTGGAATGGTGTGAGGTGAGGAGCAGGTAAGGCAAAGAGCTACAATTCTCATCTTTTAGGTAAGAATGATTGCTAGGAGTGGAAGGTAGACCTCCCAAGCCAGCATGCTCCATCACTCCTATTTTCCTCCCACATAGTTTGGCAACACCATGTCAACTATTATGGGCCACCTTCACTCCCCTCTGTTCTTTTGATCGTTTCTGCCTAGGAGTGCTGTTAACTCTTCCATTCTCTCCTGCTTTTGCCTCACAGGTCTCTTGTCCGCTTGATAGAGGAATTATCTGGGCTCGCACAGTAGTCTTGTCTCGCTAATCAGGGCTCGCTTATCTTTAGCACTGTCAGCTTTCTCTCTTCATTTCTCATTAACACTGGTAGTGGTAGATATCTTTCTCCCCACTTGTACAATCCTTACTGCAGAAAGCCTTGGCTAGTAACTTTGAAGTCTGTCTCACAAGAAGATTTGACCATATCCTCCTAGCCGCTTGGTTCAAGCTATGGTTGCCTTCCTGCTCTTGCCTTTTCACCTCCCTACCGCTGGTAGGATCACTTCCACTCAGTGATACTATTTCTCAGAGAACAAAAGACTACATGAGAGACGCGGTAATATGGCTACAGTTGAGTAACAATTGGGTTTACACTGGAGTGTAGGTCCTTCCTCTTTTTTTCTCTTCAGTTGTGTCAGCTGGTATTTTATTACTCTCGGCTGGTACCCTACTACTTCATCCTCTTTTGTTCTCCTGGGTAGCCCTATTGGCCCTTCCAGATGGACTGCTCTGGGCTCTTATTTTCTCCATCCCTCCTACTTGTAGTAGGTGCTTTTTTCTTAGGGTTTTTGCTGCTCACTGTTGTGGGCTGTATGCTCAGGATAAATATTTATATCACCTATATGATGTGCTTCTTCGTTATTTCAACTTCATGGACATGGTCTGTCACGCAGGTTGAGCTGTGAACCTGCTTGTTATCGGTAAGAGATTGGCTTTGGACTTTGGTTTGAGGTTTCCTTGGTTTACGTTTTCTTCTACTTGGTAGGGAGTATACTGTCAGGATGGGGGATTTTCTTGCCTTGAAGAATGGGTTTCTAGGCTTTCTGGCTTTACTGTTTGTAGATAGCTATGCGGGAGACTGACAGGGAAGTTGTTTACACCAAGGGCTAATTTGGTATCAGTGGCCCATGGTAAGACCCCTATAAGTTCAAATTGTGAAATCTGAGGATTGAGCTTCTGGCTTCTAGTGTTAGCCTTTCTGGTTTCATAGTTTTTCTTGTGGCTGCAGGAGAATAAGGCAGGAAGGAGGTTTGTATCAGCTTAGTAGTATGCTAGTAGGACCCCTGTACATTATCATGCATTAGAATAAAAAATATAAAAAAATATAAAAAAATAGGCCTTTTAAGCCAGAATGGTAGAAGGCATTGAGGAGAAATAATTTATTACCTAGTAGAGAAGACTATTTCAGTAGGTAAACAGCCAATCTAGTATCACTTGTAAGTGAGTGAAGAGATCTGTACTATAGGTAAGATTTAGGAGGAGGAGACCAGTAGTAGTATAACAGTTCCACTAGTGTAAAATGCAAGTAATAGTATGTTATCTATTATACTATCTGTTAGAGCTATAATATTAATAATGAGGTTGATTTTAACTTCATAGTTATTAAAGGTAATTTATTTAATAACAGAAAATCTGGGAATTTCTACAATAAAAATATTTCCATTATAGTGGAGTTAAATATAAGAATTAAGATTTACAAGAAATAAGATATCTGCTAATCAAGATATAGGCTTGGGATTTCGTTTCTCTTCAAATAAACATATAGATATAAACAATATTTGATTCTTGTTAGGTTTTCAAATTCTGGTGAAGTACAAATTATAGGAGGCTAATATGTATTTATTATTCTTACAGTACAGTCCTGTCTAATAAGTTCTCGTACAGTCACTATCAACTGTACCACCATACGGAACAGTAAAGTTGATCACAAAAAAAAATGATATCAACTCAATTAAAAAATACATCATAGTAGAAATAGAAAATATCAATCCAACAATACTACCATTTTGTATAACCTCTATTTATATCTAGTAAAGCCTGAAGTCTCTCAGAAATCCTCTCAATCCACCTATCTAAAGTCTCTTGTAGAATCAGATCTCACTCTTCCTTTGCTGCCTGAAATAATTCAGCAGCACTATGGGGCCTTCTTTGCTCCTTGAAGAATCGGTTTCTGAGAGCTTTTTTGAGAAATGTGGAGGCATTCTTTATTTTGGTTGAGATCTGGTCAGTTGAGAGGCCAAAGCAATCTTTTATATCTCAATTCCTCTTGAAATTTCTTGTTATCCAACTCAGCATGTCATGATGCATTATCAGCAGCCATATAAATGGTTTTTGAGCTCTGTTTATGTCTTTTATGAAAGGGATAAGATATGGCAGGTGTATCTCAGTTGAATATTAGTGTGCATTTAGGCCAAGTCTATCACTTTTGCTAGTCCTCTCTTTCTTAGTCCTCTTCCTTATAAGAATTAACTCTGTTTTCCCTCCATGAATAATTGCAGCATAGACTCCAATATTGGTATGTCTAGACTTAAAGATGGGCTTTAAGCTTTTCTCTTCCTACTCTTCACCTGATTTATGTCTGATGTTTCTTAGTACTGGATTTGTGTCGTATTCAATAGTGGCTTCACCAACAAAAACCACCTACTTCCAAGCTCTTGTTCAGTTCTTTCTCATTCTTGCAAACCCCTTTCTCTTCTCCTTCTGTTCCTTCCTCCAAAATGGTTTTTTTCTAGGTATCTAGAGCTTAAAGCCAGCTTCTCTAGAGATCTTATTTATAGTATCTTTTCCAAGACTAACATTAGCCTTCTGGATAATATCTCTTAGTACTAAATGAAGCACAGAATCAATAATATCAAGAACTACATTCCTTATAGCATTGGTAATTTTGGTAGGCCTGGCGGCTTTAGAAGCATCATGAGTGTTGCCATGATAAATTTTGACTATTTGGATCACAGATAAAATAGTAGATTTGGGGAGGTTTGTCACGAAAGTGGCTTGGCATGGAAAAGGCTTTCAGATGACTCATGATTATGAGTTATAGGTATATTATTACGTTTGCCCATATGACCACTTTGGTCATATGACTTGTTTCTGTTATGATTTGTTATGTTTCGCAAATGGCTTGATTATGAGTCATGGGAAGTGTGCCT